CATTGTCCTTGAATTTAGGATTTCGCATTACTTTTCTTGCCCATGCACTTGCTTGAACATGCCCGCTCTTTGGTCCATGTTAATAGACCCACACCTTGAGAGCTATCTCCAGAATTTTGAGTCAACTCGTGATATACCAAGTCTTGCACCACCTCTTCAAAATTGAGAGTACTCTTGCCAATCATTAGCATCTTACTGTAAAAAGTAAGCCACTCGGAGATGAGCCAATGTTCCAATTGACTTCCTACTAAGCGTATCAGCCACGACATTTGCCTTGCCATGATGATACTCAATAGTACAATCATAATCTTTTATGTAAGACCCATGTCTTGGGGAAATAAGAACGGTGAGCAATCCCACATCGCTCGGGGAGAGAAATGTGAAGTGCTTTAAATGTGTGGGCACTTCTCTTCCTAGCACGAGGCCTTTTGGGAGCTCACTGGCTTCGGAGTCATAGAAACTTCGAAGTTAGGCGAGTTGGGGGCCAGAGCAATCCCAGGATGGGTGACCCACTGGGAAGTTGCTCGTGAGCTCCTAGAAACAAAACCATGAGGGCAGAGAGGGGGGCCCAAAGCAGACAATATCGTGCTAGGGGAGTCGGGTCGTGACATTCATATCCTTGTGTCATTATCCTTGTAAACACAACTGAAACTTTTGTAATATGTAATTCTAGTTCAAAAACTTGTAAATCCATACCCAAATCTTGTAACTTATATGTTTTGGGATCCTCTTACAATGTTATGGTACCCTGATATCCAAACTATTGTAATACCGGTCCTTAATCTTGTAAGACCCTAATTTACAAAGAAAATGACACATAGTAAGACCCTAATTTACAAAGAAAATGACACATAGTACCAAGGTGAGAGTGGACCTTGGAGGAGTTAAGTTGTGTCATTATCCTTGTAAACACAACTGAAACTTTTGTAATATACGAGAAAACTTGTAAACTTTCTACTTTTATACTTGTTTTTCTTGACTTTTAATCCTAACAATGTGCTATAAAATCCATGGTCATGTTAAGAAAAGGATACAAATTTATAATACTTATAGGATGTCTACGAAAGTACAACCAAGTAACATAGAGTTCAACAATTAATATAGTTCTTATTTTAGAAATTGATTTTGCACATGCAATTAGATATGCAATAAGGTATACAATTGACTTGTTCTTTTCAACCAATTACATAAACAAAACTCAAGGTGAAAAAAATTGATGGATAAAGACTTTGAAGCTCTCAAATAAATGTTGATGTGCATTCACCAATTCTATGAAACAAAAGAAACAAAAATTAAAACTACCAACCTCACTTGATTTTTAAAAACTAAGCATAAGATACGGAGGAATTAACCACAACTAGCCATCATAATTCATATAAATAAAACTAACAACTCATAATGAAATTGAGTAAATCTACAATGAAGTGACATATCGGGAAAAAAAAAGTCTCTAAAACGGTTCTCATAAAAAAAGAGTCTAAAACAGTAACTTTAGATTTATAGAAGTAAACAAATGTCATTACATCATAAAATATTAAAAAAGGAATGTAATTTTATGTGGTACAAAAATCAAAGGACTTGGATCAAAGTCAACAAATCCGAGGAATAAATCCAACTTAATGGATTTCATAGAATTTTTTTTATTTTTTTTATAACATTTTTCATCATGAAAAGACTATTTTAATATCACCGTTTAAATATTGTTCTTTATTAGCATCACACCGTTTTAATGTTTACTTCCAGAAGAGTTAAAGTGATTGTCAAGAAGATTATAAAATTGCATCTATTATCATATATTCTTTTTCCAAGCATGCATGGCTCTTTTTGAGACTGGATTCGGCCAAAGCATGTATTAGTATATCCTGTAAATATCACTAAAACATAATTACGGACAACAAAACACACATTAGCATAGAATGCTACGATGCAATCTATGCTTGAACTTTTGTCCTTGATATTATCAAGAAAAGTTAGTGCATTCTATTAGGAAATAATTAATTATTTTGGTTAGCAACTTCCAATTGGACGCAACATGTTACAACCAACATGATACGGCAAAGCCATGACTTCATATTTCCAATAACAAAGTCTCACTGATTGAAAAAATAATAAAATATAACATTTACACATTTGAGAAGTGTTCGTGAATGCAGACACCAATGCATAACGAAATGCGATACAAACCATTCTTTTTCCTACACCTCACAATGTAATGTATCGATGCCATATTTAGGTCACACTTTAAGGATTGATCATCAATGAAAAATCAGTCATATTGAAAGGGGGTTTCTCACTTTTATTTTTTTATTTTTTTAAATACAAGTGATAGTCTAAACTAAATGGGAGAGGGGGTTTCTCACACATACACTACCACACGGCGTCATATGGATTTGAACTTCAGACTACTGGTCTGTAAATCGAGGCTCTTTTTTACTGAACTAGATCTCGTTAACATCTCACTTTAATTTCTCAATTAAGTGAAGTTGTCATGTTCTTTTGTTTATTTGATTTGACTCATTTATCCGAGGGATGGTATTTGAACATGCTATTCCTATTAAATCGCACTAAAACTCTATTTTCCATTTATGTTTGTGTAGGCCGAAGAAAACAAAAACAAAAACAAAAATTCTGGTGTGGAAGTTACTCTCTATTTTCTTAACGAATCACATAATATGAAACATTTGTATTCTTGAGTTGGGCTAGGATTGTGGGCTCCAATTCGTATGTGGTTAACTCAAAAACAAGGGTCAATTATTTAATAATGAAAAGCATTTGCCGTGTGGGGTGGTTTTCTTCCTTCCTAGCAGGCCAATGAGCGTGTTGACTAAGTTCGCCTTTGGACCAAGCCCACAACAAGAGACTTTGAAAGTGACGAAATACCTTTGGTCACGCCGTGAACGACTTGACGTATTGATCTATGTGGTCCCTCCCATGATCCCATCTCCTACTTCCGGAAATACCCTCATACTATACTTAAACTCCAATTCTACCATTTGCTAATTTTGACCAATTCCATCAACTACACAAAACCCCTTCTAAACTACCGCCTGTTTTTCAAGTTCATATATGAAATACGGATGATTTACAAACTTATCATATTAATTAGAAAATAACAAGTGACTAATTTTAAATTTTTCACTCTAAATACTTTTGTATATTATGTCCAGCTAAAATGCGTTTATTATTGAAATTCTCTTTTGAATTATCAATATTTCATAAATAAACTTGAAAAATAAGCAATAATTTGTTTGGCGAGTTATCTGTAATTTACTCTAACTAATTTCCAGCTTTCATGAAATAAGGAAGATTTTCTGGTTAATGATTGGGATTAGGAAAATCAATAACCAACCCGCTAAATAAGTTAGAAAAAGAAATTGATGATATGGTGGTGGGGGCAGGGTTAACGACTCCAATGAAACTTGCTGAATAAGAATATAAATGGTCCTTTTGTAAACTTTGAATAAGGTGAGATTGTGATGCGTTTATTATTGAAATTCTCTTTTGAATTATCAATATTTCATAAATAAACTTGAAAAATAAGCAATAATTTGTTTGGCGAGTTATCTGTAATTTACTCTAACTAATTTCCAGCTTTCATGAAATAAGGAAGATTTTCTGGTTAATGATTGGGATTAGGAAAATCAATAACCAACCCGCTAAATAAGTTAGAAAAAGAAATTGATGACATGGTGGTGGGGGTAGGGTTAACGACTCCAATGAAACTTTCTGAATAAGAATATAAATGGTCCTTTTGTAAACTTTGAATAAGGTGAGATTGTGATGCAAGGGGTATGAAATATATGGGCAAAGTCAATAATATACATGTACACTTTTCAATTTTTCATTAAGAATGTTGAGAAGAATAAATGGCCTTAATAAAATTCTAGAGTATAGAATTTGAGGGACCAGACTATTCTCATTGTGTAACCTTGTATATTTAAGCATGATAGTAAAACGAGCGATTAAGGGAAAGGGGGTTTACACACAAATATTCATTAAATGCTTGGGGGTTTTGAACTTCTATCTACATGGATGAAAGTGAAAGAGCTCAACCAACGTTTAAAATAATTTTAAATTAAAATAATCTTTATAAATTATCTGAATGAAAATATTCCAATTAAAAATGAAAGAGTCTCTAACATTAAAAATAAATAAATAAACAACAGTGGAGAAATGCCACAATTGCTATAAAAATCTGGAGAAAAAGATAATAAGTATAAAGCATCATTCAGAATATGTTATCTCCCCATTTACTCCATAATCAATATAAACCTTGACTTTGGCAAAGAAATTAGAAGGAAAAAAAAAACATTGACTTCTAAAGAACCAATACATTGACTTGGTTGGTTTCTTGGAAACTCAAGGGTAATCTTGTATCATAATGTCCAACCTACTTTCCTATATACCTTCCTCTAAAACATTTCTTCTCCAATAACCCAATCTTTTCTCCTATCCTTCTCCTCACATTTCTCTCTCTGAATCAACAACCCAATTGAAGAAAAGTCCCCATGGATAGAGAACAAGATGAACTGCAATTTCTTGGGATCTTTGGCATCTTCAAAGAAGCCTGCAAAATTGTATTTTCATGGAGAAAAATCTTCAGCCAAATCACCTTAACGCTGATCCTCCCTTTGAGCTTCATCTTATTGGCTCACGTAGAGCTCTCAAACATCCTTTTCTTAAAGATCAGCCACAACGAAAGAGTCTTACACCGAACAAACACCAACAGTCCAAGATATGAAAGAGTAGCAGATGTCATATCCTCTGAGTGGGCAATTTTTTGGCTTTTCAAAGCTGTATACTTCACTTTCTTGCTCATCTTCAGCCTCCTCTCCACCTCGGCCGTGGTATACACGATCGCGTGTATATACACGGCGCGAGAAATCACCTACAGGAAGGTTATGAGCGTCGTCCCGAAAGTGTGGAAGCGAGTCATGGTGACGTTCTTGTGCACTTTCATGGCTTTCTTTGCCTACAACATAGTGGCTTTTATTGTCCTAATTATTTGGCTAATTTCGGTGGCCTTTACTGACGCTGGTACTATTATTGGTTTCTTTCTGCTCATCTTTTACTTCATCGGGTTCGTTTACTTGTCCTTAATCTGGCTACTGGCGAGCGTGGTCTCTGTGTTAGAGGAAGCAAGAGGGATCAAAGCCATGACCAAGAGCAAGGCGTTGCTAAAAGGAAACATGTGGGTGGCTGCAATTATTTACTTCACGCTCAATGTTCTGGCCGCCCTTCTGCAGTTTGCATTTCAAATGCTAGTTGTGCATGGATATTCATTTAGTGTGGTGGATAGAGTTGCATATGGAATTATATGCTTGTTGCTGCTGTTCAAGCTCATCTTGTTCTGGCTTGTCATCCAAACTGTGCTCTATTTTGTCTGCAAGTCTTACCACCATGAAAACATCGACAAATCTGCCCTATCAGATCATCTGGAGGTTTATTTAGGAGACTATGTTCCTTTGACTGCTAAAGATGTTCAGCTTGAGCAAGTTTATGTTTGACCAAATATTAGTCCTTGGCTGGTGATGGTGATGATATTAATTTCTTTTTGTATTATCTACCTGTCTTGATTATTATTAGGTAGAACCATTAAATATATCTATGGTTATGTAATCATAAAGTTGTTTTTGTAAACCCACTTGTGATGTTCAAGCTTTTGACCTTTCCTCTTCTCCACCTAAATTTTTGTGTAATGCTTAAAGCAACACATAGGTTGATTGATGTTGATGCGATCAGCATGATATTTTATTTGGAAAATTTTGGACATTTGAAGTGGATTTTTGAGTTTTGGGGTCCCAAAATTTATGGCAATGGGTTGCGCACGCTGTTTTCATCCTCATCCCCGTTAAGTATCATTTAAGGAGCCAAGCCATACTTACCGTCAAATTCAGGAGGCAAATTGACAAATTCCTCCTTGTAGATGCTAGAATCATAGAACGATGAAGCATAAAAGGTTTGGGCCGTTTGATTGGACCGTGGACTTTGATTAAAGCAGATAGGCCTTCCCCTAGCATGAGGGTGGAGATGTCTTTCTTTCTATTGAGAATAACTGACTCGGGTATCTCATTGATCTGTGCTTAATTTGGGCTTCGGCCCAAATTGATGATGGTGTCATTTTTTTGGGGGGTTGCTATGGAGGGAGATTGGTGTGGGGCCGGACGTCTTGAGAAGATTGAGGCTGGACGTGGGGACGGGAAAACATGGAGGAGAGATTGCGTGGGGGAGGAAGGTGGCAAGAGGGGTTGGTGGTGGTTGGGGGCAGGTAACTTTTCTTTTCTTCTTTTTTTTTTCTTTCAAAGTTAATTTATTGGTTTATAAATTGCATTTCTATTTTTTTTCCGTCTTTGATAAATTTGTGATGTGTCTCGGTATAATTGCTAAATCCTTAGTATTATAGGGAAACAATCCCTTTTTATTGAGGGATTCCTCAAATATGTACCTTATATTTTTCAAGTTTTCATTCATAAGTAAAAATTTGCACAAATAAGAGGTCATTGAGACTTCTAATTGTAACTTACTGTTAGTGTTTAATAAGCTAATAAGAAAAATGGAGGAATGGGTATATTGAAGAAGAGAGTGAGGAAACAATATGCTCTGTAAAACTTGTGTATTTCGTGGAGTGTGAGGCACAATGTCACTCACAGCTCATATAGCTCATATTGCCGTTAGAGGAGAGAGAGAGCTAGACAATTCCTAGCTTCAATCTCAACCATCCAACTACACTATCAGTAGGATTAAGACACCTGTCCAGTCAAGTCAAGTCCTATAAGACTTAACAAACTGTTTGACTATTATAAACAACTTAGCCTATGAGCTAAGTATAACACTAAACAAAGCAATTACATACTAAATCAGTTTACCATTTTGCACATTAACACTCCCCTTCAAATTGTGAACTGATTTCACCCCAAGCAATTCTCTGAGATAAGAGAATTGTTCTCTTGCCAAAGCCTTAGTGAAGATGTCAGCTACTTGCTCCTTTGTAGGACAATGAATCAAGTCGATTACACCCTGTTGTAGAGCTTCCTTGATGTAGTGATACCTCCAGTTTATGTGTTTGGTTTTCTGATGAAAGATCGAATTCTTGGTGATAGCAATGGCTGAGGTGTTATCACAGTTTAGGGTTTTTGCCACAGTCTGCATTTCACCAAAATCTTCTAACACAAACCTTAACCAAGTAGCTTGTGCAGTTGCCTCTGATGCACTCACATATTCTGCTTCAACTGTGGATAGAGCAACACATTGTTGCTTCACAGATGCCCAAGAGAATACTCCACTACCGAATATAAAAGCATATCCCGATGTACTCTTCATATCATCTTCTGATCCAGACCAGTCACTGTCACAGAAGCCTACCAAAACCGATCCTTCTCCTTTCTTATATTCCAAACCAAAGTCAAGTGTACCTTGAACATATCTTAGTACCCTCTTGGCAGTTCCATAATGTTTATTTGTGGGGGAATGCATAAATCTAGCCAACAGACATGCAGCATACATTATATCCGGTCTAGTTGCGGTGAGATAAAATAGACTTCCCACTAGTTTTCTGTATTCAGCTTCATTTGCAGCTCCACTTTCATCATCTCTCTTCAATTTATCAGCTGGTACAAGAGGAATACCAACCGGTTTACAATCCTGCAGACCAAACCTTTTCAAAAGTGTGGAAGCATATTTTTTCTGGTCTATGAAAATGTAGTCTTCACTTTGGATAATTCCCATTCCTAGAAAGTGATGTAGCAAACCCAAATCTGTCATCTCATACCTCTGCATCATATCAGTCTTGAAATCTTGCATTAGTTCTTGAGAATTCCCTGTATAAACTATATCATCCACATAGACAGATACTATGACCAAATCCGAGGTTCCCCTGCCTTTAACATATAATGTTGCCTCACTTGTGCTCCTTTTAAAACCACATTGCACGAGATAGGAGTCTATCTCTCCATACCAGGCTCTAGGAGCCTGTTTCAAGCCATACAAGGCTTTGTGCAATTTTTACACTTTATCCTCTTCTCCTTGTACAATGAAACCATCGGGCTGCTCTACATACACCTCCTCTTGAAGCACTCCATTCAAAAAAGCTAATTTCACATCTAATTGATACATTTTCCAATTGTTCTTTGCAGCCAAGGCAATGAGAGTTCGTATAGTATCCAACCTTGCCACTGGTGCAAAGGTTTCATTATAGTCTATGTCGGGCTTTTGTGCATAGCCTTTTGCAACCGAACCATCCAAGTTCAACTTGGTCTTGTACACCCATTTTACTCCAATTATAGGTTTGTTGAAAGGTCTATTTACCAATTCCCACGTCTGATTCTTCTCAATCATGTTCATCTCATTTTCCATTGCCTTCTTCCAAGCTTCATCCTATGCAGCTTCATCAAAGCGCTCAGGCTCCACTATGCATGAATGGCAACTTGCATAGATCTCACTTAGATTTCTGTACCTCAAAGGTGTGTCATCAACCGAGGAATCATTTGCAGGTTCTTCTTCTGTTTCAGGTTCTTGGAATGCATGTTCTTCTTCTGTTTCAGTTGTTCTCATATCTGACATTTCATCCGCAGGAAGTGGGATGCAGATTTTTTTCACTTTGTGTTGCTCCCAGTCCCATTTTCCATGTTCATCAAAAATCACATCCCTTGAGAGCAAAACCTTCTGAGTTGCAGGAGTCAATATTTTGTATCCCTTCTCACATGTACCATATCCAATAAAAACTCCTATGGCACTTGTTGCTTCTAGCTTATGCCTTAACTTTCCAGGGATAAGTGAGTAACACACCGAGCCAAACACCTTGAGATGTTTAACTCCAGGCTTTCTCCCACTAAACTTCTCAAAATGTGTAGTATTCTCCAAAGCTCAGGTTAGACTTCTATTAAGTAAATACACAGAGGTATTCACTGCCTCACACCAAAGAGTGTAGGGAAGCTCCTTATCATGAATCATGCACTTTGCCATTTCGACAATGGTTCTATTTTTCCTTTCCGCAACGCCATTCTGCTAAGGAGAATAAGCTACTGTGTGCTGTCTTTCTATTCCCAGATTTTCACAAAACTGAATAAAATCGGTTGAGATGAACTCTCCTCCACGATCAGTCCTTAACTTCTTCACATGATATCCAGACTGAAGCTCCACCATTACTCTGAATTTTTGGAACACATGGAATGTTTCGGACTTGTTTCTCAGAAAATAAACCCAACACATTCTTGAATAATCATCTATGAATGTGATGAAGTATTTATTTCCACCTAGACTTGGTGTTTGCATTAGACCGCACAAGTCTGAATGAATCAGTTCTAATGGCTCCTTGGCTCTCCACTTTGATTCTTTAGGGAATGGCTCTCTGTGACCCTTCCCCAATACACAACCTTGGCACACCAATTCACCATTTTGGATTTCAGGCATCCCCAATACCATTGCTTGACCCTGCAGCAGCTTGAGACTTCGAAAGTTTAAGTGCCCAAACCTCTTATGCCATATCTTGGAGCATTCTTGCACATTTGTTCTCAAGGCAACCTCCTTGATTGTGTTGAAAGTTAAAGGAAAACACTTGTTCCCCTTTTGCTTTACACTCACTACCATGTTACTTAAGGAACTATCATCGAAGATGTCAACCTTGTGATCTCCAAATACAAGGAAATAGCCGTGCTCAGTCATCTGCCCTACACTGAGCAGATTCTCTGCAAGACCGGGTACTAGCATGACTTCCTTGATACACTTTCTTCCTTTCATTGTATCAATAACCAAAGTTCCCTTTCCTACCACATCAACCAAATCAACAGCGCCGACCTGAACTTTAGCCTTCACCCTTCTATCAATATCCACAAGTAAATCGGCCCTTGATGTCATGTGGTTGCTACAACCACTGTCAATATACCACTCATCACCTATTCTTCTTATGTCCTGTCCAGAGTGATTAGCATAAAATAAATTTCCAATTTATTCAACTTGATTAGCAAAGTTCACCTGCTGCACAGCCTTGTTTGTATGACAATATTTTGCAATATGCCCAATTTTGTTACACTTGTGACACTTGACCTTATTCTTAAACCAACAGTCTCCATAGTGCAATTTATCACAGAATTTGCATTTATTTCCAGTGTTGTCTGTCTCATTTTTCACAGAGGAATTAGGCTTATTACCTCCATCACCCTTGTTGCCCCATTGCTGCCCATGTGGTTTGGCATTCTTTTGAGACTTACTGGTGTGACCATTAGACCGAGCTGCCTTTGATCCAATGTTGAAGCTAGCAAATGCTTTCTCTGCACTATTGTCACCATGCCTATCAAGCCTCTGCTCATATCCTTTTAAAATTGCAACTACATCTTGAGCATCAATAATGTCTAAATCTTTTGTATTTTCTATCACAGCTGCAATACTATCATAAGACTTAGGCAGACTAATGAGTAGTTTCTGAACAATTCGTTGATTGCTCAGATCCTCACCATAGCTCTTCATTTGGTTGATCAGATCAAACAACTTAGCAATATGCCCAGACAAGGATTCATTATCATTCATCCTAGTATATTCAAAATCATGCCTAAGACCCTAAAGTTTCACGGATCTTACCTGCTTATCACCAACAAATTCTTGTTTCATAATATCCCACGCAGCCTTTGCAGTTTCTTGAGTTGCTATTCTTGGAAAAATTTGATCTGATACAGCCCCTTGGATAATAC